TTTGCTGCAGTGTAAATCCACCCCTTCCTGTGCCCTGGCCCAGGCAGGAAGCTCGGGTTATTCCCTTCCTCTTTTTGTGAGCCTGAACACTGTTAGCAGGAATGCTCTTGGTCTCCGTGTTAGCCTAGAGCAGAAGGATCCTTCGGATGTCCTAAAGACTACACTTTCCTCATGGACTTCAGCCAACAGCATGAGGGCTTTGACTCTCCTCCAGCTTCTGCCTTCCTGCACAACAGCTCTCTAAGCAGTTAGGTCCCATCCTTGTGTTTGTGACGTTGGTTAGATCTGCCTGCATGTCATCCCTCACACTTGTTCGTATGGAAAAGCACTTTTTTTTTTTTTTTTTTTTTGAGCTTTTCTCCAGTTTGTCACCATCATTCTGGACTGTCATCCTACCCTTCAGCACAAGGTAGCCCAGCTGAATAGGGGCTGCCCAAATTCAGCTGAGGTCTTTGCCATGCTTGGTTGGCAGGTATGTTCTTTGCAGCTCTGGTGGAGGAACTGGTGGGAGAAGGAGGCACAGAAGACGTCAAAGGCTGGGAGAAAGAATCCAGGAGATCAGCTCTTCACGTGAATGTCGCAGCCTCTGATGCATTTTAGGACAGTGACCACATCTCCTAGATTCGACTGAGACAATCACTGTCTTCAACCATCAGTAAATTCCGTTTTGGAAAGAGGAAGAAGCTTATGTCCATGAAATAATTCCAGTTCTCTAAAGCACCTTCTCAGTTAAGATGAAGAGATGATCTCAAAAAGGGCAAACAGCAGACGGAGGTAGTTAGGAAATACAGGCCACAGTGCTTCTTGCCTACATTGACTTATCTCCAGCTTCTCCATGTGGCTGGAAACTGTTTTCAAGTGTGGGATTTGACTGCTAGATGTTGGATTCCTAGCTGGATACTTTGGATCAAGGACTTTCAGGAGGTTCGTGTTTTCCACGCAGCGGCTGGGCTTGAGTTTCCATGTGCAGCATAATATCATTGCAAAAAAAGTGTCATTTATCAGTCTTTCATTGATGCTGTGCTACGCATTTCTAGGCAATCCTAAAAGACAGGTCAATATGTCAAAAACATTTTTGCAATAACTTTTTTGTAGAGAAAAGGTCTGATGTTGAAACACTTGTGCACATAAGTAACTTTATTACCAGGGGCTATCAAATTGATTCACATGCATAAGGCTCTTCACATGCAGAAATATTTGTAAAACTGGCCTCTTGGTCCTYATTCGTCTGAACAATTTAATACATTTATATTTCACTGTAGAACACACTCTACTCTGGGACTGCAGAGTGGGTTTGTGTATAAAATCCCTTAGCTAGAGTGGGAGAGGAAGAACTTCCAGAGGACTTGTGATATTCCACAAGAAGCTACTATGAGCAAGAATAATTTTTCCAGGGGCCAATGAAGAAATGTGTTAAACCACATAACATGCTACACTTCACGCAATAGGACTTTYCTTTTGGTTGGCACCGACCATAAATTTCCAGGCTTCAGCAGAGCCCTTTGCCAGCTGTTCTGCTCCATCTCCCAATCCTTCTGCAGTCTCCTGCTAAACTGCAGCCATCCCTTATGCAGGTGCACAGGCGGAAGGGAAGCTCTCCGAGCTCCCTGGCCCCTACAGCAAGACCTCTGCCCCCGTAATCTCCACGGAAATTGCATAAAGCTGTTAACATTTTTATAGGTGAGTGCATAACGTTATCGCATAAGCATACTTGACAGATTAATGTATTTTACACAATTTCCTGGAAAAAAGTAGTATAAGCAGTATCAATAAGTGAAAAGCAATGTACTTCATTATGTTTTCTAATTTATATCAGTGTTTCTCACATATTGAAATCTGTGACCCATCACAGCTTTGTAGATATATAAACCAATTCTCCTGCAAGAGCGGAGAGATTGGAACAAACTTCCAAACTTCTCCTGTTGGCCCCTTACTGATAAAGGGAGGACAACACAACACCCCTAACCCCTCGCAGGTGATTTTATAAAGCTGCACACTTCACGGAATCGCAAGCTAGGCTGACAGTAATTGCTCTTTTGACTTTGATGAACAAAAGCCCACTCTGCTCACATACCWCCCTACAGACGTCAGGTCTTACCAGATATTTAGGTGCCTTCCAAAGCCTTATTTTAGTCGGGTCATTCACAAGCACGTACTGTTGTACATAACACAGGAGAGGCTGCTGATTACATGCTTTCATACTGAAACACTTTCATATGCGTAAGGATCTGCAGGATTGACCTATTTGTCTTTACTCATTTGCGTAGAATTTGCTAAAATCCCCTGTGTGGCTAAGGCCCTTTACTGACTGCGAATTAAACATCCCCCTGCAAATATTTCCCTTGTGCTGACACCAGGCAGGAACCCCCTCAGAAGTTACCTTTCAAGAAAGAAYGAATTTAGCGTCTTGATTTCCCCTGTTTAAGTTGTACACTAAACAAAAGCCGCAGCTGCAGTCAGTTGCAAGAAGAAATGCTCCTATCATGACTAAGAGTCCTCCTAAACATCCTGAGGCTAGTGTCTAATTGCCAGGTTGAGCAAAAAATTTCAATCAAGAACAGTAATCTAATGGCAAGGCTCCTACTACGGCATGGCGCGCAGTGCAGCTACGTGGCAACACACCTGCTTGGTGTAAATTTGTGCTGCTGGTTTCAATGCATGGAAAAGCCAACTACGGGTTTCCTGCTCGGGGAGCTTTTGTCTGCCACGTGATCTGAAGCTGGGTCACATACTGTTCTGGACCACAAATGACCCAAGGGTGACGTGTTTCTGCCCGCACCTGAGCTAGGTCACATTTGTGTTGCGGGACAACTTGGTGGTGACTGTTACTTGTTATGGAGAAATCAAGGAATTCTGGCTCACTTGGCCTTAACGGGAGTGTCCTCTCATGCCCACCCTTCCACACCGCTTTAGCCTTGCTCCTTTGATTTAGTAACTGACCGGAGACCCTGGGTCTCTATTACTTGTCCCCAGTCACCTCAGGCTTCCCAGCGCTTTCCTCTACAGCGCTTGAACGCTGCAACCTCCTTTATGTTCCCATAGTCCCAATTAGACTGGTTCAACGATGAAGATCTGGAAACACCTTTTTTTTTAATGTATTTTCCATTTTCTAATCGCGCTGCCTGCAGCACTTGTGTGCTCGCACAGAGTCTCGATGCCGGGCGTCGCACCCTAACCACCCCTGCAACTCATTGCCCTGCTTCCCGTCACCGTGACTCTACTCCCATGTGGGAGCCAGGTGGAAAACTGCAAGGAGGGTGGGTGCCTGTGGCTCTGCTGGAGCTTGTGAGGCCCTTGGAAGGGCACCAGGAACTTGGAAAGAGCCACGACCCAGAGCCACAGTGGACATGGGCCTCCTGCAGGCACCATCCCCACAGCAAAGGGTGCAAGGAGCCCCTTCATTCAGCTTCCTCAAAGGAAGCCACTGCGGAAAACTACTGCCAGGTAGCTCCTTATTCACCTGGGGGGTGGGGGGGCAAGGAAGCGAAGGAAGGAAGGCAAGACTGAACAAGGAGAGTCAGTGAGAGGAGAATGGAGTAACGGAYAGCGGGTGGAATAAACTGTGAGAAACTTCCCCCTGACCAGCCAGGCCCGCAGCGCATCCGGCGGGCGGACACCGCCAATAGAAGCGGCGGCGCTACCGTTAGAGCCGTTGGCCCCGCCCCGCGCGCAGGCCCCGCCCCCCGCGCGCCGGCACTTTGTTGTTCTCCCGCCCCGCGCGGCGGCGGCTGCGCATGCGCGGCCCGAGCGCCTTCGCTGCCTTCCCCCCTCCCCGCGCTGCATCCGGGCACCGCGGCCTCGGYGCCGCCGCACAACTTCCATCCTGAGGCGAAGTGAAATGCCGGCGCGCGAGCGAGCGCGCGCGCGCACCGAGCGGAAATATAGTCCCTGCCGCTCGCCGGCCCGGCCCCATTGGCGGCGGGGGCGGGGCCGGGGCGGCCGTTGGGGGCGCGCGCAGGG